TGGTTTACTTTATAAAACTGATGAGGGAAGAACTTTATGTAGAACTACTGAAGTTGATGTGTAAGCACAATTGGATCTTTCAAATGGACATTAAAGCATACAGGTTCAATGTTTTATTATTTATGTGGCATCAGTCCACAATAATTGTCCTCTGAAAGCATTTTCCAAACCAAACTGCTCCAATTTACAGCGGAACATATGGTCCATTCAGTCCAATTATATAGACTGATTCAAATGCAATTTGAGCCAAATTATAAAATAATGCTATCAAGTCCAAGCTGGGCTGCACAGTTGGTAGAGTTGTTGCCTTGCAGCAAGAAGGTTCTGGGTTTGATTCCCAGCCCCAGTCTTTCTGCATGGAGTTTGCATGTTCTCCCTGTGCATGCGTGGGTTTTCTCTGGGTACTCTGGTTTCCTCCCACAGTCCAAAAACATGACTGTCAGGCTAATTGGTTTCTCTAAATTCCCCCTAGGTGTGAGTGTGTGTGTGCATGGTTGTGTGTCTCTGTGTTGCCCTGCGACAGACTGGCAACCTGTCCAGGGTGTACCCCGCCTCTCGCCCGGAACATTAGCTGGGGATGGGCACCAGCAACCCTCCCGACCCCACTGAGGGACAAGGGTGTAAAGAAGACCTACTACATACTACTCATTAAAGCTGTAGCATGTAACTTTTATAGAAAATCAGTTTTTTCCATATTTGTTAAAACTGTCACCATGTCGTGACAGTATGCTATCAGACATCTAAAATATGAAAGGTTTGATCTCTTCTACCTCCTCCCTGTGCTGTTACTGTCATCTGAAGAAATGTACCACCAAAAACAACCAGAGTCAAGAGGTTTAAGGATAATAATGCTGTCAATCAATGCTTCTTAATGTGCTAATGGCAGAGAAACAACTCACCGCTCCAAGAAAACCATCTATCCGCCATCATTGGTGGCCATGCTAACTGACCTTACTACCCTTGGGAGGCTGTAGGGTAGCAGAGAGCAAGAGCAGACGGTGAGCACAACAGTGTTTGACAGCGCTAAGACCCTCCTCCTGGCTCTGATTGGTTGTTTCTGACTGAGTGGTATGTTTCTACAGTTGGTAATGTGAGAACTGGGAGAAGACAGAGGAGCTCGATTTTTTCCACAGATTATCTGTCTTTTTCTTTATACATATTGATAATTTTAATAAATATGTACAAAACATCTATTTTTTTTTAATGAAAGTTACAGACCGCAGCTTTAATCCAACATTTCTGAATTAAAAATGTTGGTAAAAATAATAGTCTGATGTAACATTGTATTTTTACAATGCTGTGTTTTGTGTAAGTAAGCAGAAAAGTATCATAATTAACAGAAATAAAACATCAGTCTGTGTGAAATTATCTTGTTTCACTTGGTGGATGGAGTCACTAAAATTAAAAAACCTTTTAAATAATATTGTCATTTGCTGAACATGGCTGTATAGAAAACATCACAAAGCACACACCTGCTGAGAGACAGCAGTGACTTCACTGTCTTCAACTGTCTTCCAAAATCAAATGCAACAAAAAAAGAGCTAAAAAAAAAAAAGCAGTGAATAAAGGAGTGTGTTAGTTTGGTCAAAACAATCCTGTGGGCCTACAGTACTGCTTCATACATTTTATTAAGACATTTCAAATTGTTGAAAGGGGCATATTATATCTCACTTAAAGAGCAACGAAATATGATTTTAAGTACATCCCACAAAGAAAGAAAAAGAAGTTAATCATAAAAAAACTCTGACAGCACCAGGGCGAGCCTGGGTGGAGTATCCCACTTTATTGATTTTAATTCCTTTAATACCTTGGGCCTCGCTGCTTGGCTGACTCTCTCTCTCTCTCTCTCTCTCTCTCTCTCTCTCTCTCACATGGCTGTTTTTATAGTGAATTTGATTTGGGCTTCCTTATCGGCTCGCAGCAGGCAGGAAAAAAGCGGCCGAGGATCCCCAGACCTGGCAGCCAGGCTGGCATGTTTGAAACAAGAAGCTTTCAGATCAAACATGATTAGTGTAGGCTGCTAGCATCGCATGAGATCATTTCTGCGTGTTTTGTGTGTGTGTGTGTGTGTGTGTGAGAGTGAGTGTGTGTGGGAGGGGCCGCTCACTTAGTGGCACCTGATGCTCGACGCACATCAGGCCCACTTCAGCCCCGGCAATCAGCACACCGCATGCGAGTGAACGCGTTCAGCTGGACTATCACAAAAAGGCTATTTACATGAATTTGCTCTGCGTGCATTCAGCTGCAGCTGCAGAAGAGCCAGCCCTTCAGTGCGCGCGCTCACTCCGAGTCGCACCGTGCGTCCCGCGCGCTTCACTCTCTCTGCAGTCACCGGGAAGGGGGAACAAACGTGGGGGCGGGGGGTTTATGTGTACTTTTTTTTTAAGAATCCATGAGACCGAATAACCCCTGCGGGGTCAGTTCACGTTGCCCGGGTTTTCTGGTTGCGTGGAAACATAAACGACAACAACAACAAAAAAGAAGAAGAAGGTTTTCGGTCAGTAGAGAGGAGCCGCGCAGTGCAGGAGCCGTTTCCAGAGGCGCGTCCGCGGTTTCCCGCAGCGGATCGGGCGCAGAGGGTTAGCGGAGCAGCCTTGTTGGCCGATCATCGGGGGAGCCGCTCCATCCACCCAGAGACGCGCCATGGAGAGGAGAGCAGAAACGGGAGCAGCGACGTGAGTGCGCGCGATGCCAATCATTACGCGTAAAGGTGTCACTGTAGAGTGTGTTCAACATGAGTTCATGCCCAAAAAAAGAAGAAACTAATATTAAACTGAACTTAATTTATTTTTATATTTTGAGTACATTTTCTATTATTATTTTTTTTATTTGACCAAGTATTTACACGTTATTGATTTTTTTTGTAAGTCTTCTAATACCTTCACTATATTGACGGCATCATTGCTTTTTATTAGTCTATCCAAAGCTCATTATTTAAAAGAACTAAAAACACTGTTTTCAAGCGCTGTATAAATTTGAGGTATTACTATTATTATTATTAAAGAGTCTCTTTACTGCTTGTAGATTCGTGAAGTCCAGAAGGTTGTTTTAGCAGTTCTATGCAAAGCCTGTCATCATCATTAATCAGCTAAGGAACATAAATTCAGGTTGTATAACTTCAAAAGTAGATATTTTTTTCTTTTCATGTTCTTCCCCCATTTTTTCTAATTGCTTTTTATCCAATTCTGAACCAAGCAGTGAATGGATTCCATTAAAATGTCTGATCCATACAGTAAAACTGACCGCTTTGACAAATATTTGCTGCATTTCATTTGCTTTGATGGTTGGGTTTGAGTCCCCCATAATGGCTCCCTTATGCAGCCGGTGGCTTTTTACAGAGCGGCCCTGACAGCGGGGAATTTATGAAGTGAGTCTGACCAGTGGCTGCTGCGACAGCGCCGGATTTATTCCCAGAGCGTTGCATTTCCTGCGTATATTAAAAGTGGCATAAATAACAATGACGGCAAAAGTTCATCAATTCTAGGGCAACACCAGCAGAGCCTCCATCTGACTTATTGTGTTTGCTGTCCCATCCTTACACTCCGTCTTGATCTCATCCAGAAGCAACTTGCCTCCATTTTCAAGCACTTAACTCTTCCTCCTGCCAAACATTTGCCCCTTTCCTCCATATCTCATTAGTGTCTTGCAATGTCCTCTGTGTTGTCACTGTAATCTTACCCCTCGCCTTAAATCCCTTTGATATCATTCTTTCTCCCGCAAGCCAGAGCTCCTCATGTGTCCAATTTCACTTCTTGTTCACATGTTTTCACCTCCTTCTCCTCCTCTTCCTCCTACTCCTCCTTCATCAGTAGCCCTCTTCTGCTCCCCAATTATCTCTTGCTGAAATACCAGCCTGGCAAACAGGAAGGGAAAAATGCACCCTTTTGCAAAGGCCTGTCAAATGTACTTTGTACTTGCATGCTGTTGTATTTTTTTTCTCCATGCGGTTAAACATTTGAAAGTGTCTTATGTTGGGCTTGAGGAAGATGCAGGGATACAGTGCTGTAAAAAATAGCTGCTTTATGCACTGCAAACACAAACACCAGTGTTATTAATAAGGATTTTATGGGATAGACCAAGATAAAGTAGTGCATAATTTGCATATTTATTTTCCTTGTTAACTTTACTGCTATAGACAAAGAACAGATAAAAAAAATCTAATTTAAATGAGCTAACATTTAGGATTCTCTGTGCTTTTAAATCACTGACAGCACATCAGGTTTTTTTTTATTTGTTTGTTTGAAGTTATAATTTTCTCTGGCAGGTTGAGATTTCGGTCGAAGATTGCAAGACCAACATGTCACATACTGATGAATTATTACAGATCATAAAAGTGTCTAACTGATCTCTCTCGACAGTGCTCTGAATCTAGTTTAGAAGGCAACTTTTCTATTCTGGGGATGTAGACCAAGCACAAGTGGGGTTCTTCCTGCGCGGGCTTTTAGGTTAAGACCCAAAAAGAGCACACTTGTGGGGCTTTCTGTACCTAGTTTAAATTTAGATTCCTCATCTGTTGGTAACCAATGAGAAACTATCTGCTGATTGCAGAGATTCCCTTTGAGATGTTTAACTTGCACCGATTGAAGCTGCAGATTAAGCTTCATTTGAACTGAAAATCCAACATAAAGATGCCATGTGTGGACAGGCAGAGAAGAAGAAATTTGGGGTGTTTTCACACCTGATAGTCTAATAGGCTCAGGGTGATTGGGTAGCAAATCAAAATTGCAACATTTGTTACATTTTCAGTTGGTGTGGTTCTCTTTCACACTGCACTGTGTGAAACCAAACTCTTTGGAAAACCTGCCCCCTTTGCCCCCTTGCCTGTGGTGACACTGCACCAAGGACCACTGAAAGAAACAAAATGAAAACCTCTGAAGAAGACACAGAGTGCAACTTCTTTCTTCACAAAATGTAAACAAAAATGGAATGGTATCAGATTTTAGTGGTTGTAGGATTTCTCTTGTCTACAAGTCATTTCTCTTGCTATAGCTAGACCCTAGCATTTGTTTTAGTAGTATTTACCCAGACTGCCCTGCACTATAGTTCACTTATTGCTTATTGAGTGGTCTCCAGTCTGCGTGGCATTCTCGGGTTTTCAGACGGACCACAGTTCACTTTTTTGGTCTGCATCAAAGTTTGATTCACATCTATCCGAACGGACCAACATTTATAGGCAAGCAAACAAGAATTCCTTTTGTTTAACTGTGAACTAATCTATTTTAATCTATTTTATAATATCTTAAAGTCGGTCCAAGACAAAATGTGAAAAAAGGGTATTGATACTTTTGCAAGGAAAAGTGAAATTCCATTGCCTCTTTGGATCAAAACATTTTTCCTGCTTTCCAAACAAAGATACGACTGCTTAGCTGTTTTTCCAGAAATCACACAGAAGCAGCACTGTCCTCAACCCACCCGTGTCATGTGATACTTCAAGGTACATAGAGGTCCGTTTCATTTTGTTATCTCGGTAAGCAGATCTTACCCAGTCTCTTGGCATTTAGAAGAAATTAACAAGCGTGATTGAATTACGTTTTGTTTTTTGTTTTTTTTTTCCATTTTGTCCGAGCACAAAGACGGGGCATCACACTGTCAGGTCTGTTGGCCTAGTTGCTGTTTACGATGTTAGCATTTACCTCAACAAAAGGATTGCATGGCCAACGGTGATGCTACACTCACTGAGAGACTTTTCTTTAGGAGGATTAGTAACAGGATAGGCGGTAGTCCTGATCAGCTATTAATGAAGTGTGTTAGGGTGGGTAGAGCCTGCTATTTTCAATAGCCGAGGTACAGAAAATAAACTGTAATTTAGAGGACAGATGGACAAGCTTTGTGTTACTTGCACTTCTGAGCAACTGCGCCTTTTAGTGACTCGCTCAAACGATCCAAAGAAGAACATTTTAGCAATAAGCAGAGTGGTAAACTGTTAACTCTGAAAATGCAGCTCAGCTCAGTTCAGCTTGTAACATTTTGTTTCACATGATGTCGGATCAGTATGTTAATGCAAGGGTCTGGGGACTGAAATAGCCTCGCGCTGCAGGTTTGTCAATTATAAAAGAGGCAGAGCGACACCAAGCACTTTTTTGTGCTTGTTTATTGTACAGAGTTAAAGCCTGTGTTTGATCCTGGTGTTTTTTTCTTCATTTTTAGATGTTTAACAAAGTAGAGTTCTTTTTCTGACCACCTCCATGTTAAATTGAGCTTGCAGCTTTCCTGCTGCCTCCACACTGCAATTAGATAAAAGGCTGTACCCCCAATAGATAACAACTCTGAAGAATGGTGCTAATCACTTGCATTTTATATTTTTCCATTTTTGTTGTTCAAAACGTAGTCCTCTTTCTCTCCTCTTCTGACTATGTGTTGCTTTTCCCGCTGTAGGTTCGTCAGAACCAGGCGAGGTTGATGTGGACTTCCACCCCGAACTCCTGCGGTCTTCCCTGGAGCATGCCCGTAGCCCACCATGCACCTGGCTGCAGTCTGGCTGCTGCGTTACTCGGTGGTCATGTGTTTGCTGTTGCACAGCTTGGTCTTGATGGCCTTCTGCTTCCATCATGCTGCCACCACTTGCTCCAAGAGGTGCTACTGCTCTGAGACGGAGAATGGAGGCAAGACGATGCGTTGCAGCAATCTGCAGCTCACGGAGATCCCAGAGGACATCCCCAACGACACGCGACGCGTCTACCTTGACTTCAATCTTCTATCCGCAGTTCCAACAAACGCATTTACTGGTTTGACCCACTTAGTAGAACTGGACCTGTCGCACAACGAGATAAGCCAGCTGGAGCCCGGAGCATTCAGAGGACTCGGCTCCTCCCTGCAGTTCCTGGATCTGTCTTCAAACAAGTTGGTGAACTTTAACGCTGACGCCTTTGAGGGCCTTCGAGCTCGCGCCAACCTGACGAACAACCCGTGGCTTTGCGACTGCAATCTGCAGATGGCATTGCCCCGTGTGGACCTGGAGCCAGCCTCGCTGACGGGTATAGTGTGCCAGACGTCTGATCCAGAGAAAATAGGAGTTCAAGGACTTGCGTTCCTGTTGGAACCAGATATAGACCTGTGTGTGGTGATGAAGAGGACTACAGATGTAGCTATGCTGGTTGTTATGTTTGGCTGGTTCACCATGGTCATTTCCTACCTGGTCTACTACGTCCGTGCAAATCAGGAGGATGCCCGCAGACACTTGGAGTATCTCAAATCGTTGCCCAGCAGGCAGGGCAAGTCAGAGGACTCCTCCACCATCAGCACTGTGGTGTAGTCACAAACAGAACCTAAAATCCTATATCACCACAAGCAGGTGTGGCATGTATCTATACAGTAATTGGGAATCTCAAGGATTTTCTTGCTGTTGAAGAGAGGAAATAAAACATTTTCATACACAGAAAGACTGAGATGGATGTAATGTAGTCTGGATAAATAATTCATCTTTCTGGAGGCCATTAGAACTTTTTGTTGGCTGAGTTGATGGCCTTGCCTGTGCACTAAGCAAGTAAAAGCAGTGAACTCCAGATATGGGATACAAATGGGTTTTATCCAGTGGTGCATGTATCTCAATGCTCCTCTACAGTGGTCAAGACGCAGTTAGCAATATCAATAGTCTGACAGTGCTATTATCACGCTCTGCGTAATATGTTTCTCAGCAGAATCCTAATATTATAGACCCATCTAATACAAGTAAAAATGGCATTTTCAAGTTAATATGTTGTTCTGTGAGTTTGTCTTATTGAAAACAACAAAGACACACTGCTTCAGAGTAGTTAATCAAATGTTTGGAACTTTAACACATTTTGCAGGTGTTACAGCAGCAAACATTGGTGTGTGTTCTTAGCTCAACACAAGGTAAAGCATAACTGAAATGAACATGAAATATGTGTTTTGTGTGGTGCACATTAACCACAATGACAACTGCCTTTCTACGCAATTCCACTTGATTCTCATCTCCCTTCACTGCACCATCTGAAATTTCTCCGACTTCATTTCTCTAGTTGATTTTCAACCGGGCCAGTCAGCTAAAAGGAGGAGTTGTGAACAATGGCGTTTTAGAATTGTAGTCTGCCTAAATAGGGTTGTAGTTTGGCAATGGAGCTGAGAATGTGAACAAAGACATTCAATCAGCGTTGACCATGCTTCTAAATATTGAGCAATTTAAATTGGAGCAAGAGGAATGTTTAAGACATTTTATTGCTGGCAAAGATATTGTATAGCTCAGCACTTCTCTCTTGGCATCCTTGGGGGATGGTAGTTTACAATGCACATAATTTCCAGTAACTTTCAAAGCTTACTGGAAATGCGTCATGTTCAAACATTAGTCTTTGGATAAAATCAGGTCAAACTTAAGAGAGTCCACACCTCCAGGAAGCAGTCATTTCACAATAGCTGAAGGTCCAGACCCTTTGGACAAAGCAAGGAGTAGAATAAGGGGTGGACTGTACCAGGGTAGGTGTACATATGTATTTAACTCATTTCCTGCAGTAAATCTAAGTTCTAAAATGATATCCCAAGCTTTGTACATTTTTAATCCATCATCTGAAATGGACTGTGATGGACTGGCGACCTGCCTGAGGTGTACCCCGCCTCTCGCCCATTGACTGCTGGAAATAGGCACCAGTACCTTCCCGACCTTACTAGGGATGAGGGTGTAGGATGGATGGATGGATGGATGGATGGATGGTCGGATGGATGGATGGATGGATGGATGGATGGATCTGAAATGGAAAGATAATGACACAACTGCTAATTGAACAAGACATAGCAAACTACATGAATTGACAAGAAGTAGCTAACAGCCCAACAGTAACTCTAGAAGCTGCAGACAGCTGAAGAAGAAGAATCTGTTTAATGGGACAAGAAGTTTTCAGTTTTACATATCTGACCTTTGTAGAAGAATAGCATTAAGAAAGCCATTGCTAAAAGGTCTCATTTCCAGCTTGCCACCATGGGTGGGTGCCTGGAAAGCTGCAGGCAAAGAAGGTGCTCTCGTTGGATGTGACCAACACTTAACTACATCCATAACTCTGTGTGTGAGGGGGGGGAGAGGGGAATGTTCACCCTGAATACACCATTCCCATTGTCAAACATAATGGTGGCAGCATCATGTGGCAATTCTTTTCAGACATGCCACATGATGCGTAGACCCCCTCATTACTGAAGGAGGCTATAAGGGAAGATGGCTGCAGTTAAGTACAGGACAATCCAGGAGGAAAGATTTTGAGGCAGCAAAAGACTTGAGACTGGAGCGAAAGTTTACCTTCCTACAGGGAAACAACCCTAAATATTCAATCATAATGGAATAGTTTAGATCCAAGTGTATTCATCTGTTAGAATGGCTCTATCAGAGCATAGATGTAAATCCAACTAAGAATCTACAGGAAGGATAGTCAGATCAGATAATCTACCCGATCTGACTGAGCTTTAGCTATTTTGCCTAACAAAAGAAAAATCAGTTTCTAGATGAGTTTAGGGAGATAAACCCCAAATGACTAGCAGGTATAAAAAATGGCTCTGATTGACTTAGTGAGGCTAATGACAAATGCAAACCACACTTTTCTGATTTTTATGTATGAAAACATGTTAAAACTGTCCTCCTTCCACTTCACAGTTATGCAGTACTTTGTGTTGGTCAATCAGTTAAAATTCCTATGCAAGTATGGAAGTTTGTGATTGCAATGTGGAGAAGCACAAAAAGGTTTAGGGCTAAAAATACTTTTTCTAGGCAGTCAATTTTAATTATATAAAAATCAGCTACTGTGATTTACATTTAATTCTTTATTTATACCAGTTGGATGTGGTAAAAAAAATGCTTCAGACATCCCACTTTATTATCAAGATGTCAAAGAAGATTGGTCTGACAAGTAAATATTTAAATGGTGCAAGAAATGTGAGAACAGCAATCTAAACAAGGACAGTTTTTATACTGAGGTTTGAAAATGACTGTCACTCGGAGTAATTACAGGAACATGAAGGACTCGCTAATGACCATCTTATTTGGATCTGTGATTCCAATTTGGGGGGCTCAGACTTCACTATGTCAGACAGTGGAGACTGAAATAAAAATTCTAAATTATTGCAATGTGCATTATTTTTGGCACTCTTAAATGATGAGAGAAAATGTAATTACTATAATTTTTTAGGTTGTTTCTGTTCTCAGTATGTCTTTGTCACATGTATTTTCTACGTCACGCAGGGACTTTGCAGGTTTGTTATTTTGTGGTTGTAAAACTGGAAGCTTTTGGTCCTCTTAACTAGATTACCTCAGTTGCTGTTTTCTTTCCATCTAACATCCTTATTAAGCAGCCAGGGTGTCTCTATGAATTATCTATAATGAAGTCACTCCCATGTGCTTTATAAATAACATTTAAGAGGTCATGGCCGGTCAGTCCATTAAAGGAGGCAGCAGGGAAGCGAACTTTCCATTTCGCCGGAGCGTATGGCAAAGAGCAACATGCACAAATGCATTTGAGCTCCTACTGATGAAACCGTCAATACCAGACCAAGACTGCAAAAACAGGGAAATGCATTTGAATGGGAAGCATAATTGAATCCATTATTGCCCGAACCCCGAGATGTACTCATCGGCTCTTCCTCCAGCGGAAAACAGCTCGATGTAGTGCTGAATAATGAAATCTGATGTCCGAGATGTGGGAAAGGGTTTGTCAACAAGGGTTTTCCTTGTGTTTGACACACTAATGCCTCCAGAGCAGAGCGAGACCAATAAGTTATTCATGAATATCACAAAAAAAAATTACTTGTGCAGAAAGGCCGGGACTGTACCCATCATCTTCTGTGACCTACTTGTTGGGAGAAATGAAAGGATAATGCCACAGGGGATCAGTGCCTTTCTGCTGTCTGACTTACATTCTTTGGGTGAAGCACTTTCCAAATGCCCTTGAGCTGCTGGGGAGTTTCTTGAGGAGTCATTTTAGCCTCTCGCTTTGGTTCTTTAATGTTCATTACCAGCGCAGGATGTCATGTAGTTGTGTAAATGCGGTACCACTTCAAAATCTTTTCACTGGAAATATGGATATACTTTAGATTTCTAGTGATTTTATGGCATTCAGTGACATCTGAAGTAAGTTAATGTAGGAGTCAAGTTAACAGAGATGGAAATGTGAAACAAGAGTTTCACATAGGAGTTGGGAATAATACATTGGTCTATTGAAGGAGCAAGGAGGAGGAAGTTCAAACCATTTCTTCTGTCAATCACAATGGTCAGGGTGTTCACTGCATCAACTATAGAAAGAAACATTGTATTTGTAAGATAAGACAAAGATATTCCTTTATTTAACCCAATGAGGACAAATGAAAAGTACTACAGCAGCACAAATACAAGTAAATTAGAAAATATCTCAATAAAATTTAAATTAAGCAGGAAATTTGTTCGATATTCTAAAACATTCAAGCGTGACAAAACAGCAAAAAGAACCCTTTAAAGAAGGGATGCCAAACTCATTTTCATTTCAGGCCACATCAAGATCATGAACGTCCTCAAAGGGCTGTTTATGGCAGAATATATGAATAAGCTATTAAAATATTATACCTTTCGATGTATTCAGTGAGTAATTCTTAAAATTTAATAGCATTGGACATATTTTCCCATTTATGTCATTTGGCGCTACAGAAATAAAAATAGATTTGATTTGACTGATAAAATAATATTTGCACAGTTTTGAGTCTTCAGGGCCACATAGATAGTTATGGCGGGCCGGATTTGGCCTGTTGACCTTGAGTTTGACACATGTGCTTTAGGGGGTGAAATACTTCCTCACCAGATAGTTGCTTTTTGGTTAGTTTTAAGAAATGATTCATTGAAATAACCATTTTCATAAAATTTAATGTTGCTATGGTGACAAGTCCCATTTAAAACATGGATGACAAAAACTGAAATGTGCATCACTTTTAGTGCCCTCATGAAATCATTACAGTAAAAAGAAACTAGAGGAAAGATTAATTACAACGCCTAGTTAGTGTTTCTTATGATTAATTGAGGACTTTTTTCAAATATGATGGGAACATCAATACTGAGTTGGTGGCAAAATGGGCCACTGGCTCCTTCCAACAATAAAAAACTGAAGGTGTTTTAGTAAAGCAAAGTTACACTCTGAGAGAGAAGTGGAGTCCTTAACAGCAACATATTAACTTATGCCTTAAGAACCTTATAGGAACAACTTACAGTTATTGAGCTGTGTTTCCATTGATCATATAATAGTGCAAAATGGAATTCCGAAAATAAATATGCTTAATGGAAACATGTTAATTTAAAAAAGAAAAAAGAAAAAAAAAACTCCTTACATTTTCAATGAAAAACATTTCCGCTCGGGTAAGGAAATTTTTAAATTGTATCAAAATTATTTTATTTCGCAAAACCACAAAACACATTTTTGGCATCCCACCAGTCATGTGATCAACAACCGGATGTTACTACTGACGGAAAAGACAAAGAAGTAACAAAACAGGATGATGGCGTGGCATGTTATTTTTAGTGACTTATCATGTGAACAAACTTATTCAGGTGTAACCTTAATTGCATTTCTTATTTAATGGAAACACTGTAATTGCAAAATTTAGTATTTCTGACATTGACAAAGTGTTGTGCATATTTGTCATGGAATCGCAGCTGGTTTTGGACTGTGGCGGGGGGGGTGAGGGGGGGGGACCCAAAGAGAACCTACATATGTACAGAGAGACACTTGCAGATAATTATTAATTGATATGCTGGCTGTTTTTTCTTTTACTATGCCATATGTTTTCTCACCCACGCCCCATTTAATCAGCTCATATGTTCTGATTTGTGGAGTTCGCTGTGCAGAAAATGATATTGATCTCAAGGAAGCCCTGGAGCAGTCTCCCGTGACGAGCAGGAGGCTCAACAGTACTAAAAAATAGATGGTAAGCCTCTCTCCCTGACATTTCCTGCCACACACACCAACACACACGCACGAGCACGGCTTTGCTCTGTTAACACACTCTGGCAGTGGCTTTGAAAGCAGCCGCTCCTAAAGGAAAGCCACTCGCCACAAGAACGGACAAACTGAAAACTATTAGCAGACGTGCGTGTCAGTATTTCTCCCGGCCGATTCGAGTGTGTTCCTTCTTTTGTTCGGCCGTATGTACGACAGGTGTGTTTGCATGGCGGGAGCGAGGGTGGAGGTAACCCGACGCCTGTGTTCTCCGACACACACATCAATGTTGCTGAGGTTAATTTAAATTTCAAGGCAGCTCGGCTTGCCCCATCTGCAACCTGGGACACGTTACACTGGTGTGAGCATTACAACTGCTGGGTAATGGGACACAAAGTGGGGGATAAGGTGACTCATCCAATCCCACAGAGCGCAGGCCGCCTCGGAGTTCAGTTGCAGCTGAAGTGCTTTCAGGGTTTGAGATCTGTTGAGCCAAGGATCCGATGGACCGCCTGAGAAACGACATTTTTTAGAGAACAATTGAAGCGTAAAAGATTAAATTAACAAAAAAAAAAAAAAAAAACCTAAAGATTGTAACATTTAATTCCCTTGTTAATAAACGAAGAATAAAGCATCCACCTGCTTTGGGTGAGTTCTGTCACCAGTTATGTTAGAGGAACATAAATCATTGCATATGTTCATTTTATGTTTTATAGCAGAGTGAGAGGCTTAAATATGAAATCATTTCTTAAAAATGCACTGAAAAAAGAAAAGTGATCCAACTTTAAAAAAAAGTTGATTTATTACAAGTACTCAAATTAAGTTTATCCAAGTAAACATGTTACATTTATTAACTTGTCATATTAATCAAACTTAAATAAATTAAGTTTGATTAACTTAATTTGACTACATGTAACCAAAATTTAAATAATTGATATAAATAGGATAATGACAAAAATAATAAAAACAAAAAACATTTTTACAAATCAATTTCTTTCAACATTAACAAAAGCTGCAGGTTATGCGTTTGGTTTATTTTTGGCTATAACAAGTTTTTTTCTTCATCCAGTGAAGTTACTTTTACTTGATTAAAGTTCCATCAAAAATTTTTAACATGTTTTGAGACAAAATCTCAGATATTCCAAAAAGCTGACATTGTTGAATTTTGAAAATCAAAAATTTATGACATCACAAAATTTCTGACTTTTTTCTAGCAAATTTTCAACTTATCAAAGTCAGAACTTTTCTTGTTTTTTCTAGAAAATTTGTTAGACCAATCTCAAAATTTTTTATTTTTTTGGCAAAAATGAACTCATTTTCTATCTAGAATAGCCCTAATATGCCATCATAAAATACTGTTCAACTGGTGTTTATAGTTGTCCCCATTTGCCTGTTTATTTTATACACACTGCACAATGTTTTGCAATAGTCGGGTACAAAGACATGGACTGAAACTAACTAAAAGAGCAGCTAAAGAGCAGCTGAAGTTCAGGAAAAACTTGAAATGTTTCCAGAAAGCATGAAAATGTAATCAAAAGAAACTCTTGCTCCTTTGGAAGTTCTTTGATGTGGTTTAAACATTTGCACAAGACTGTTTGTAAATCCACATTAAGGACAAAAGCCATGTTGTGTAAAAGTCATGCCAAAGTGAGTAGCTATAGAGGTTTTCATGGAAAATGTACGTCTTATCACTATCATGGTGTCTGCTGTGAAATCATTTCCTGAGCAACATCCTTTCATGTCTACACATCCGTCCTGAGGAAGAGCTGTCTGGCTCCGTTTACACAGTTTCCACACATTACCTCCTGACTGGGCCGGCTCCAGTGAAACATCATTTTCCAACGGCGTCAGTGTTGCTTTCACTTCACATGAAATCACATGCTTAGTAACGTCAGTCACAGAGAAAAAAAAAAAGTGTTGTAGGATCGATGGTGTCAGGCATCCAGTGTAAACACGAAACTCTCTGGATCTGATCCAAGTATGTCACAGTCGGTGATCTGGTGCTGCCTTGCAAATTTTACGGAACGGAGGCTAAACTTGGAGCAACCTTTATGCAGATTCAGAAAAATGTAATGGCATCCACAGTAAAGAAGCATATCTCACGCTAAGTTGCTCACAGGCCCAATGATTGTGTGTCTGGTTAAAGCTGGTGTATGTAACTTTTATAACAAAAAAAAAAAAAAAAAAAAAAAAAATAAAAATAAATATATA